CACCCACCTAGACGTCTACCCTCCGTGCCACTCCCTCCCCACCCCCAGAGCAAGGACCCTAGACGTCAACCCTCTGTGCCCCCAAAACAAGGACCCTATACTATACCTCTACCCGCCGTGTCCCCAGATCAAGGACCCCAGACATCCAACCTCCGTGCCCCCTGACTGACTTACCTCCCAGTATGGCGGCGTGGGCGTGGTGGTACTGGTAGTGCCCGTGCTGGTGGAACACGTCCTCCTCCCACTCCGCCGGCCACATGGCGTGACCTTGACCCCTCGACAGCTCGTCGTCGTCGTCCTCACACGCTGACCTATGACCTCCGTGCCCCCTGAGCGGGCGGGCTAGTTGGCCGCTCGGTTCGAGGCGTCCGTCTACAGCACCAAGCTCAGCTTTCCTCCACCAGAACAACAGTAGTAGTGGGAGAAGAGAGTCGTTTTCATCCTACTATGCCGTAACAAGCACTGCCTCCGCCTTCGAAGCGGCGTCTCGTAAAACTTTCACTGATCCCCCGAAGCCAAGCCACGTCCAAAACGGTAATCCACGAAGCATAAAACTCCTTCTCACTGCACTCCGCGCTCGATCACTTTTGTTGAAGAACAAAGGGAAACTGACCCGGGGACATCACTTAGTGGGGCGAGGAGAAAGAGACATTACTTCCAGTGAAACAACCGTGTTATTTTATTTCAAGAACAAACATTTGACTCCGGGGAAAACATTACTCGCTCCAAAAAGATCTTTCTTCGAAGAACAAACTTGTCAGCAGCGATCTAATTCTATAAAAAATGTGTAAGCGCAACCAGACGTAACTAATAACTTCTATCTAGGGGTCCGTTTTTTTTTATACAAGGCATTCATTTCTTTGACTTTACACAACATGCTTTCTGAAAACGAATTTCGGAGAACACAATAGACTTCTTTCTATGCAACCAAACACAACCTGCTCTAGCACACACAATACGGCCAGCAATTAACACATAAACACACACACACACACACACACACACACACACACACACACACACACACACACACACACACACACACATCATCACACACGCAAGTCAAGAGCTACTTTCACCACACTGAACAACCCTCGCGATGTGGTAGATCTACTCTCCTGTCTGAACATGTGAACCAAAAGGAAATGCCCGCATGGTGTGTGTATGTGTGTGTGTGTGTGTGTGTGTGTGTATGTGTGTGC